GGGCATTTCAAACACTAGTGGGGCTTATCCCTTAAGAGAGTCGTTGAGCCACTATTAACCATGGTAATAGTGGGTCAACTCCTACTAGGGTTTAAATACCTAGCACACTCCACCATTTGGTTTTAGAGCTAAAGGGGATTCTCGGATGAGAGGTGAAATGTCTTCAACAAACTTAAAGATGTCGCTTTTCTTTCCAAGCTCCATAGTCAATTGTGACTGAAACTCAAGCAAAGGTGTGAAAATCCAAACGAAAATCAATTTGCATTTTAAAACAGAGCAAGCTATTCAACCCAAAGAGTTACCAGCTTTCTAGCAGTTGAGCGAGGATATATGATTGTACTCTTTAAGTTAAAAGTAACCCTTAAGAAATGTAGATATGGTCACTATTTTTGTTTTTACATCTTGAACTAATGAATACAATAAATCCCCAATAAATCTGGAAATGATAAAATGTGTGTTTCGCCTGTGGCTTTACTTCCCATCTTTGTCTCCATTTGTGTCTGGTTTGCCTGCTCTGAGATTGTCTGTTCCAACCTTTCTGGTTTCTCTTCTGTCCAGTCAGCTGTGTGTGTGCATACAGTTGTTAGTTTGTCTATTTTCCTTTCAGGTTGACCCAATAGTGCTCCACATATGCTTTGTGCTTCACTAGATTCTGGTTGTTCTAATCAGCTTTCATCAAAGTTTACTGCTGTTTATTTTTTGGCTAGCATGAGAGCCATTGAATTGTGGGTAAACTCATGACCCCCAAAGTGAGTTTTTTGTTATGCATGTATATATGGTATGAAATTTGGTTCTGATAATAAACAGTTAACCTTTAATAGTAATTGTATTCAGTTCTGGTCGGTGACAACTTGAACTTTGCGACTCTCCTGTTCATCCCTGCCTCACACTCACACATAACCACGCTTTCTCTCCCTGCAGCACGGACTACACTGCCCATGAGGCTACATTCTTTAGGGCTATGCCTGTAACACTTTGCTCAAATTGCGTTCATTTTAAATAATTTTTTAAATAATAATTAAAAATATATATTTCTTGGTAAATGGCCTGTATTTGTATAGCGCTTTACTAGTCCCTAAGGAGCCCAAAGCGCTTTACACATCCAGTCATCCACCCATTCATACACACATTCACACA